TATGCGTGTGTGTGTGTGTGTGTGTGTGTGTGTGTGTGTGTGTGTGTGTGTGTGTGTGTGTGTGTGTGTGTGTGTGTGTGTGTGTGTGACAGTATACTGACTCCGGAGGGTACCAGTCCTTGTCATAGCCCCTTAATGCAGGGCAACAACAAGTACCATCTTTTTAACGTCTTTGGTATGACACGACCGGGGATCGAACCTTGGACCTTCCGGTATCTGGAGCTCTGACACATGTAGACACATTTCTCCGTTTCCCTGATTTATTGGGTCTGTCCAATGAGGTTTCATCATATTCATAATGCCAGTGACAACATCATCGACTCTATGTCAGCTGTAAGGCCATTATTTACTGTTAACATCACAACAAACGGTAGAATGATGTTAGGACTCAACCACACGTTCCAGAAACTACTGGAATAAACGTTTTATCCTCTGGACGAATAACGTATATATATACAAATACATCCAGTGTTTGGAAATAATTTTAAACCCCAACAAGACAGTCAGCAATGACCCATAAGTGTTGCCTGCCCATCTTCAAAGTTACCAGCCCACATTCAGACATAATAAACATGATAAATATTGAACTATCGCGAACAAAATATAAGAGAAAAATTGCGTCTTGATTCAGTTGAAATAATACAAACAATTACTTGTGAATCTATGCATGCTATGAGGAGTTAGATAAGCTGAATATGTAAGTTGGCTTACAATTATCTGCCAGACAGTCGGGCAGGTGGAGAAAAATTTCATGCAGCCCGACAGAAAAGTTACCAGCCACGGGCCGCTGGGGAGGCAGTTATTCCGGACACGGTATACATCATGATACATGTAAGTGTAAAGTAATAATGATTTTTCTCAGGACCATAACAGTTTTATTTTCCATAGAACAGTTCAACACTGCTTGTAAAACTGGTCCTATCCCTTGACATGCACATCCTCACAGAAAGCAGTGCTTGACATGAAGAGGCCCTTAGGTTTTCTACTAAGGAATGCCGCAAACCTACATTATTTATTAATATACAGGATCCTACACAAATCACACTGAAACAAACTATTCTATTCAACATCAGTTTGTAATATTCCCAGGGACTTGATTCTAAACATGTTTCAGTTTTAAATACACATCATCCCTGAACACTTCAGAGGATTTCCCTTGAGAAGAATGACAGATACATACATTAACCTCATGCTCTAGGTAAAAGTAGGCGAAACTGATGCAATGGTAATGTATTGCAGATAAGAAAAAACTATTGATTTTGTCTATGTGAGTGTGAAAGTCTAACATTCCCCATGGAAGATGTGGCACCACAATCAATACTGAACCTTGGCTGGAACATGGAACAGGGGCCTCCAGCATACACAGAGTGAGTGAGTGAGTGAGTGAGTGAGTGAGTGAGTGAGTGAGTGAGTGAGTGAGTGAGTGAGTGAGTGAGTGAGTGAGTGAGTGAGTGAGTGAGTGAGTGAGTGAGTGAGTGAGTGAGTGAGTGAGTGAGTGAGTGAGTGAGTGAGTGAGTGAGTGAGTGAGTGAGTGAGTGAGTGAGTGAGTGAGTGAGTGAGTGAGTGAGTGAGTGAGTGAGTGAGTGAGTGAGTGAGTGAGTGAGTGAGTGAGTGAGTGAGTGAGTGAGTGAGTGAGTGAGTGAGTGAGTGAGTGAGTGAGTGAGTGAGTGAGTGAGTGAGTGAGTGAGTGAGTGAGTGAGTGAGTGAGTGAGTGAGTGAGTGAGTGAGTGAGTGAGTGAGTGAGTGAGTGAGTGAGTGAGTGAGTGAGTGAGTGAGTGAGTGAGTGAGTGAGTGAGTGAGTGAGTGAGTGAGTGAGTGAGTGAGTGAGTGAGTGAGTGAGTGAGTGAGTGAGTGAGTGAGTGAGTGAGTGAGTGAGTGAGTGAGTGAGTGAGTGAGTGAGTGAGTGAGTGTGAGTAAACCACACAAAAAAAAAAAAATTTACATGAAGGTATGGTTACATTTACAGCGGTAAAAACTAACCTTTTTGGCCCACTAGTGCCAATTTCTAACCCTGATTTACAGTGCGTCCTCAGCCACCACGTTCTGTCATGCATACAGGTGGCGCTGTGCTACTTCTGCTATTACGGGAGGTAACTGTATTAGTTCCTGTTCTATTATAGCGTATCATGATCTCACAAATTGATGATTCAAGTATCATGTGTACCTAAGTATCGATATCGTAGATATAAGTGAATTGTTACAACCCTGAGGTCGTATATCATAATCTTGGAAACAATTATAAAAAAACTAGGTTTATAACATGAAAACAAAGTAAAGTGAATTAATGATTGTCAATAATTTTTGTTTTCATTCTGATAGAGTTAGGCGTTAATCATTGACGTCATATCGCTTGGTCTTAGTATTTGCAGAAGACAAATAAAACAGGTTTACTTTTAAATCTTTAAAAAACACAACTGAATCATGATTGGTTGGTTGGTTTGTTGTTTAACGCCTCACTCAGCAATATTCCAGCTGTATGACGGCCGTCTGTAAATAATAGAGTCTGGGCCAGACAATCCAGTGATTAATATCATGAGCATCGATCCACACAATATGGTTAGATGTAAACATAGATTATCTAACCATGATACAACAAGAATGTTTAAAAGTTAGAAATATTTCTTTCAACTTTTGTTTTATTGTAGGATTGATATTATGTACGTGTGAATTACAAGTTAAATGTCTTGGCATTATTCAAGAGCAAAATTCGACTAAAATCTTGAAAATAATGAAAACTTAGTGTACTGATTAATACAAAAAAAAAAAAATTCTGCATTTCTGTGATGAGACATTTTTGGGAAATATTTCCGCAATCGCAGAATTAGTCTGGGAGAGCAATATATTTGTGACTACTGGACACACATTTCTGTGTTGTGAAAAACCTTGAGTACTAATTCATGTGTCATGTTGCAGTGATTATCAATATACTCATTGTTGTAATAGTTTCAGGGCAAGCAATGTCTGCATCGTGACATGTTCCAATGGCAGCATTAGAAATTGGCACTAGTCCTGTAGTCCTTGCCAAACTGCCCAATAGTAAAGGTTCCTAAGGACTACCGGTAGTAGAAATGTGTCCTTTTTAAGGGTTTTGCTATATGTTATCATTATAAGGACTAGTGGGCTAGACCTCTTAATTTCTATCGCTGCTATGGGGACAACCTTGACCTTCCCGTGTGTAAAAGGTTTCACACTGCTTGCAAGATGGACCATCTTGACCAAAATGTTAACTGGCCAGTTTGAGAGACATCTACCAAGAGACATCTACTTAAAAGAATTCTGTGACAGGAAACCTACCCTACCATTTGGGTGATTTCCTTTCACTATTTTTTTTCCTTGGACACAATGACATTTACACATTCCGAGTAGGGTTTGTGTATTGGCACTTAAATCGTATTGCAATATATCCCAATTAGGAGAACTGTATCGCGATGCATATCGCAATATTTATTGGAGCCTAAATATATATATTTGTACAGTTCAAAAGGTTCTTCATTCAATCATCAGAGCTCCAGATAAGCTGTGTATCTGCGTGAAATACGCATCAGAAATGCAGAAATACACAGTAAAATATAATCCAAGCGTATCAAATACGCAACAAACATTTCAGATACGCTACAAAAATAAAATTTGTGCGTATAATCAAAATATTGTGAAGTAACCCTGCGTATTCGATTAGCAAATCAGCAACTTATTTTGAAATTATAAACGGGCATTCCGTCAACCTTGTCATACTCCACGATGACAGTTACATCATGATCATTTGCCATCACACTTTCGTGTGGAAGTATCGTGGTATTTTTGAGTCCTATAAAGCTCTCGAACCCACACGACACCAGTTTGCAGGGACTAGATGAATAGTGTTTTTAAATATTTAACTTAAATACCCACATGTGTAAAAACTAGTGGGTAACAGAAATTTGAATACGCAGATAGAATTACTGATACCCAATGATTTTAAAATGCATGGGTAAAATACCCACAACACCAAAAGCTTATCTGGAGCTCTGATCATACAAACTTCAGATTGCAAGATGGGTAGTATGAATAGGCCTTCAGCAACCCATACTTACCGTAAAAGGTGACTATGCTTGTCGTAAGAGGCAACTAAAGGGATCGGGTGGTCAGGCTTGCTGACTTGGTTGATGCATGTCATCGATCCCAATTGCGTGGATCAATGCTCATGATATCAATCACTGGAATGTCTGGTCCAGACTCAATTATTTACAGACCACTGCCATAGAGCTGGAATATTGCTGTGTGCAATAAATCAGTGAATAAATCAGTAAGGAATGTTAATGTAAACAGCATGAAGCATGTGTTGTTTATTGGTTTACATGGTTAAACCTGGAACCCAGTCTACCCAAATGCATCAAGATAATACACAGCTCCAGATAACCTTTTTGATCAATTAAGTTTTTACTCAATTGGTTCTATTCTAATTGGGTTATTTAATGTTTCATTGGGTAACCAATATTGTTTCACTCATCTATTCATCACTCTATTGGGTTTTTCCTAAAATGAGTATGCATTGTGAGATTTGAAAAAAAAAGAAATAATGTTTTAGAAGTATATGACGCTTTTAAATGTAGGCTTGACTCGGAAAGTAAAGTAGCTTGTAATTGTGTTTTGGAAATTAGCTTCGTTGAACGCATGCTGAAAAAGCTTCTTGGGTATTTACGCGCGCTGTTTTCAAATAATTGAGTTTTTCATTTAATGCATGCGTTTCTGTATGCAACTTAATTGAAAGTAATTGGGTTTTGAATAATTTTGGGTGGTATTTTACGTAAATACGCAGCTTATATGTAGCTCTGCACAAGGTTGTACTGCGGAATGTGTTGCAATATCCCGGTATACCAGCTACATTGTACACGCCTACGCATTCCCTAGAACCATGTGACGGTGGTCCACCGTGGCCCTAAACTAAGATGTCGTGTATCCAAATATGATATGTAACAGAAATAGAACTTTTCATTAGGTAAGCAACAGAAACACTATCTTACCGTGTCCCCAGACAGAGCATAGGAAGCCAGCAGTCCACCAACAAACCGGATGTTGGTCTCAAACACAGATAATTCAGTTGACTGCAAAAAGAAAGAATACATATAAATAGATGTATAGAAACGCAGAAAGAAATGAGGTAAAACTACATTATTTCATGTATGAGCATTGGCCACTGGCTAATCTGCTATGCAGTCCAGCCATAGCACAGCAACCTTAAAATAATCAAGTCCAGAATAGACGAACCAGTGACTGAATGCATGAGCATCAATCCCTAGCTTCGGGTGAGGGTGACAAGTTATCAATTAAGCCATAGAGTCTGATCACTCCATCGTAAATACAATTTTTAGTCGGATCAAACGAAAAAAACACGAAGGAGCTATTCTAAAATGTTCTAACCCAGAATTTAGATTTTAACAGTGATGTTTTAGCCCACATAGCGTGCATTTGGGGGCTTGAATATGTGTTTTCATCATCGGGTGCAAACACTTTAACAGCTGGGCCACCCGTGTCCCCTTCCCCCAGAATGCTGTTGGAGTGGCCTGATTAACATGTTTAAGGAAACTGAAGCTGGGCTTCCATGTCACTCCAAGTGTGTGTGTGTGTGTGTGTGTGTGTGTGTGTGTGTGTGTGTGTGTGTGTGTGTGTGTGTGTGTGTGTGTGTGTGTGTGTGTGTGTGTGTGAGTGAGTGAGTGAGTGAGTGAGTGAGTGAGTGAGTGAGTGAGTGAGTGAGTGAGTGTGTGTGTGTGTGTGTGTGTGTGAGTGAGTGAGTGAGTGAGTGAGTGAGTGAGTGAGTGAGTGAGTGAGTGAGTGAGTGAGTGAGTGAGTGAGGTTGACACAGTATTTCAGTTATATCACAGTGTGTCAGCTTAATGTGGTAGGAAAGCCCAAGTGATGGAGGCTCTTGAGATGTACCACTTTAGTGATACCTACGGGAGCAGGAAAAGTACGGACAAACCTAGCAAATTGGGGTGAACTGGGATTCAAACCCACAATCATAGGTTTCTTGCTTGCCCAAGGGATGCAAGTCTGCACAGCAAATTGCGACTGGGACACCTGCCCCCCCCCCACACTCCACTTAAAACTTAAGAAAGGTGGACGACATATGGTATCCGAGTGGCATGTTTAACATGTCTAAAACTAAAAATATTTCATGAACAAGATCAATACTTATCCGAAATCAATAAGTCTTGTTCCAATTTCCATGAATAGTGATTGTCACCATAATACTTCTGATATTTTGACATGCACCATAACCAGTTTTATTCATGCTGAGGATCCAGAATGAAGTCTGCTGAGTTACCATGGTAACAAATAGGACAATGTTAACAAGGCCAAACTACATCAATCTCTTTCATGAGTGGACATGCACGGTCTACAGGGTAATTACAGGAAACACACACACTTAGGATGATAGGAAATACATGAAACACATGGAGCAGTACACGATTATAACACTTCTGCAGCAATATCCAGTCAACACCAGTGTTCAAATATGTCCCTGCCCATCGGTTCGTGGCAGGTAGACCTTGTGTCTGGCCCTAGTTTCAAAGTTGTATGGGTCCTTATGGCCAGCAGTAAATTAACGTGTCAATATATTTGTGACAATTCGCTGCAGTTTCTTTATATATGAGGGCCTGGACACCGTTCCACAAAGCGATCTTAGCGCTACGACTATCGTAAGCCAGTGTTAAAGTATGTGAGTTACGACCATCTTAGCGCTAAGATTGCTTTGTGGAACGGGGCCCTGGAGAGTTCAGTCGGGACCTACAGCTTCTCCAGTCTGTGGGTCCTGATGCCAGACTTGGATTTCTTTTAATACCAACATTGGTCAACACCAGACATGGATAGAAAATGAAGGAGTTCCGGGGGTACGAAGGCTGTGCTGCTTGAATGGTTGTCTGGAGACTCCCTATACAGCGTTTGAACTTGACTTACAAACTGGGGGACCAAGGGACCCAAATAATTAATGGTAACATATTTTATCAGTGCCATAGTGATTTCAACCAATACTAACTACAATCTTATACAGTAATATATTGAACCCTGGACTTTAATGTCATTTTCAACACTGCCAAGCAATGCCATACATGTAATATGTATAATACACAGAATATTATAATACTACATGGAATATGTGTAATACACAGCATATTCTAATATTACATGGAATATGTATAATACTACACAGAATATGTATAATATAATATGGAATATGTATAATACTACATCACATGGAATATGTATAATACACAGAATATTATAAGACTGTATGGAATATGTATATATCCCACCTTGACATTGTATAAATGCTACAGCACTGAACATCCCCAGTGTGCACCAGCTGCAGTCCTCCCTCCCAGCACACCAGGTGTTACCACAGTCAATACTGTACTGGATTTATCATATAACTTTTAAGTGTTTCATACAAGGAACAGGCATTGAAAGTTACTTCTTTGTAAATAACTTCATTGATATATTAAGTAACAACATATGGACTCCAAAGCATTTCGATATAGTGATTAATAATAAACTTCTGAAATGTGCAAATCCAAATGCATGTTTCACGATTTTTCCTACTGCACAAAAGACGATATCATTTGATAACAGACATGTCTCATGTCTCTGATAATCAGACATGAGGTGAAAGGTGAGGTGAAATGGGGTTTAACGTTGCGTCGAGATTATTGCACTTCTATAGCCCAAGGTGTGTGTTTGTGTGTGCTAGTCCGGACAGATGCCGATTCATAGTCTTAGCCTTAGTCCACTGAGATACTGACTCCGAGCTGACCAGTCCTTGTTTCATCCCCTGAATGCCAAGCGCCAGACAGGGTAACAACAAGTTGGTATGACGAGGCTGGGGATCGAACCCAAGGCCTTTTGCTTTCCAGGCGGACGCTCTACTGCTAGACCACAGAGGCGGTCTAATGAGATATGAGATTCTTATCAATTTCCAAAGATTTCTGTCCAAGTCACAGTGTGCCTGCATGCTCCTGCAGTTGGGCATTTGGTTCTGATACAGTTTACAGTCAATTCTTTTCTTGTTCGCTTTTAAATTTTTTTATCCCAAACTTAACTTATTTCCCCCCGCGAGAGACAAAAACAACAATTATGTGCAATCTCAGAGCTACAGCTTAGTCTATTTATAACTATGGGAGTGATGACAGTTCCATAAAGCAATCTTAGCACCATGACTATTGTATGTCTATGAGGTGAGGTGAGGTGAAATTGAGTTTAACGTCGCGTCCAAGATTATTGCACTTATATAGCGACGTGCATGCACGTGTATGTGTGGCTGCTTGTACTAGTCCGGACTGATGCCGATTTATAGTGCTAGCTCACTGAGATACAATGCCGCAGTTTAACATGAATACCCCACTCAGACACAGTATAATGACTCCGAGCCGACCAGTCCTTGTTTTAGCCCCTTAATGCCGAGCGCCAGACAGGGTAACAACAAGTACAATCTTTTAACGTCTTTTTGTATGACGCGGCCCGGGATCGAACCCTGGACCTTCCGCTCTCCGGGCGGACGCTCTACCACAAGACCACGGAGGCGGTCTGTATGTCTATGATAAAGTATGGGAGTTATGAGATCTTAGCACTAAGAAGGTTTTGTGGAAGCGGGTCCTGGCCTATGAAAGAGAGTGAGTATTGTTTCATAATCCACAATATTCCAGCAACGTCTCACCTTCGGGACAATAGAAATAGCCTTCACACACAGTACTTAAGTAGGGAATCAAACACTTAGTATGACACAGAATCAAACACAGTACTGCTAATTTGAGTATATTTGCCTGTTAGACGTATTCACGCTGTGTGAGACCAACTGTTGTTTGATTACTTAAGCCTTATTGCTTTAGCTTGGTTTTTATTGCCTAGTGTCAATAAATCCATAAACTTATCAGTGCACCTTAATACAACCAGTCTGTCTATTTATTTATTTCACACACTCATGAGCGTTTATTCATATCCGCTTTTAATCCGTTTTGAGAATTATGAGAGCCGTGACATGCTTTAACCACCAGTCTCCCCCCCTTCCCCCGAAGACACAGATCAGGACTTACCCCATCAAAGTGGAAACTTGTAGCAATCCAGTCTCGGGCCTTCTTGAACTCCTCATTCATGCCCATCAAATACAGCGTATCGATGGCATCAACAATTGTGGCTCCCAGAGACAGGGTTCCGAAGATACTAGCGGTGTGACCTCGTTTTGAGATGGGTCGAAGTTCGTTTGCCCCCCAAGCATGTTTCTCATAGTTTGACCAGGCATGTTTCATCATCTGCAATACATCAACCAATACATCAACCAATACATCAACCAACCAATACATCGACCAATATATCGACCAATACATCGACCAATACATCAACCAATACATCAACCAACCAATACATCGGCCAATACATCGACCAATACATCAACCAACCAATACATCGACCAATACATCGACCAATACATCAACCAACCAATACATCGACCAATACATCGACCAATACATCGACCAATACATCAACCAATACATCAACCAATACATCGACCAATACATCAACAGACAACATAAACAACATGAAAAACATGCACTTAGGGATGTCATCGTATATCGCAAAAATGATACATTGATAAATATTGATAAATGTTGATACTGTATGTTAAAAATTTATGAATATTGATAAAACTTCACTGCCACAGATTACCAGGGTTCAGATAGACAATAAAAAGACAGAAAATTCAATTCTAAATGTTTGATGGATCAGCCTAGTTCATATGGAACATTATTTTTAATAATTGCAGGACCAGATCAAATTAACCTATTGTGGTACTCTAAGTCGATATATCGCTAGAAACAGCTTGAGAAAATACACTCATACTGACGAGTGGCAGCATGTGCCGGCAAGGAAGAAGTGAACAAATGTTTGTCCTACCAGGAGAGGACAAATTTCAATCAAATTCATTCATCTCTAATCATTTTCATCAAAAGTATGCTGGATAGTTGATTTCATATGTTATATCTCATACGTTCCCAGTAATGATAACGCAATACATGTCGCTTATATCATAAATTGATGTCATACTTGGCAACTGCTCTGTTGAAGAAATAAATAGAAAGTGTGTTTGTGCAGCAAGGTTTGAAACAAGTTCTTAAGAGGAGGTAAGTTTAATTATTATTTTTGTTGTAAGCCCCTTGATAATGATGCTCAAATGTCAAAGCGAAAGCAAATGATTTAGTGAGGGCAAAGGCTGATGTAAGTATTTAATTGTGGCAATGGAGGGGTTCGTGCGAAAAAACATAAACAAATAAATATCCTCAACTCAAAGGTTATATTTACTCTAAATGGTAACAATTTAAAACATATAACATTACATAATGTTTGTTTGTCGTTAAATGCCGCACTCAGCAATATTCCAGCTATAAGACAGCTGTCTGTAAATAATCGAGTCAGGACCAGACGATCAAGTGATTGATATCACGAGAATTGATCCCATGCAATTGGGAAATGATCATGACATGTCATCAATCAAGTCAGCGATCCTGATCCCGTTAGTTGCCTCTTATGACAAGCATGGGGTGCTGAAGACCTATTGCAGTATGGGTTCAAAATAATATCTACCGTACTTGCCCTGCAGGACAAGTTGGGCTTAAGAAAAAGTTCGAGCCCTGCTAAACATTCCGATCAATGACATTCCTAGCTGCAAAAATCTATTCGTAGTTCAGGGTACAATTTCCCATTGACAAGACCACACTGGTGCCGGTTAAACTCGGCTAATGTAGCTTAACTTCACAAGCAAACTGCACAGAGCATGCTGAGTGCAGTTGGTAGATATTCCCTAAAAAGGCTAATAAATTTCACTCACTTCAAATTTAGACCATGTATACATGGGTATAAACAAATTGAAATACCATCACTTCCATTTTAACGATGTTCATGGTTACATCATATTTATGTAATCTTCCCTTTCTACACGATAGCCAATCAAATCCCACTTCATCACGTCAATCACTTGCTTTATTTTCAAGGCTAAGAAAGGAAAGTCGAATGTATTCAGGATTACAAGGGCTACAGAGCAATATGGAAGATGAGAGTATAGTTGTGACCACAAACATAGACATTAGACAGAAAATTGTACAATTGTAGACATGGTAGAGCTTTATCAAAATGTTAGAAACAAAACTCTTCCGTTTTCCATTAAAAAGAACATGAAATTGGACATAATGCTCATTGTGATTTAAGCTGACAAATGTCAAAACGTAAAAAAATCAGTTGATCATTCTGACATGCCAAGAGATAGTTTGATGAACAGCCCTAGATCTAACAAGGAAAGATGTTGAGTTGTGGGACACTGTCAGACATCGTAGGTTTTTTTGCAGGCACAATTTTGATCTGCATGGAATGAGGGGCAGGACTGGACGTAGAAATTGTTTCAATGAAAATTATGTTATGCTAATATATGCCGAAAGTGGGAAAATGCACTTTTAGGACTGGGTCAAAATCTCTTTGTTTGCAAGAAATCATAATCTACGAAAACAGTGATCAAACTAACAATGCCTGAGGTCATGTTTTGAGGGGTTTTAATTTCTAGTAAAGTATGTGGTCACCAATTTATTTACCAAAATGTGAAGGCGACTGTGCTTGTCGTAAAAGGCGACTAACGGGATCGGGTGGTCAGGCTCGCTGACTTGGTTGATACATGCCATCTATTCCAATTGCGTGGATCGATGTTCATGCTGTCAATCACTGGATTGTCTGGTCCAGACTCGATTATTTACAGACCGCCGTCATATAGCTTGAATATTGCTTAGTGCGGCGTTAAACAACAAACAAACCAAAATGTGAAATGAGTCAAATTTCAACACTGTTTTGAGTCACTGAGTATTGTACTCAGATGCTGTTTTTGTTGTTGTTTAATGCTGCACTCAGCAATATTCCAGATGCATAAAGTGGGTCTGTAAATACTAAACCAGACAATCCAGTGACTGACATCATGAGTATCATCACTGCAGCTGGTTTACAATGTCATCATGACATGCATCAACCAAGTCAGTCAGCCTGACCACTCGATCCTCTCAGTTGCCTCTTACAACAAGCATGGGTTGCTGAAGACCAATTCTATCCTGATCTTCTCAGGGTATGGTTGTCTGGACTAGAAAAAACAGTGATTGATATCATTCAACATCATCTCTGACATCAAGTGTATGTTGTTGAGTACCATATTCTAACCCAGAATCCCTGGGTTTGCATAACCCTTCTTTGTTATATGTATTACTATTAGGATTAAATATTGCCAATTCCACGTAATCAATATCAATATAGGAATTGTTCAAACATGTATTACAAAAGCCTACCTCTTTTACTTTCTCTCTCCTCATCCTGTTTTCTTCATCATCATGAGACCCCCCGGCTGCTTCATCAGGCAAAGCATGCCCACCATGCTCCTTTTCAACTTCAAGCTGTTTCTTCATTTCTTCTTGTTTTGCTAAATTGTCTTCTTCTTTCTTCTTCATCAAGATTATATTCTTCTCTTCCTGAACTTTATCTTTCATCACTTGAGCATCCTCGGGTTTCATATTTAACTTATCACCAAGAACTTCATTCAGTTTTTGCTGTTCCCATGCCACATCGATTTTTTTTCTAAGTTCCGCCTTGTCAACTATCTTATGAGGATCGATCATATCACCATGCCTCAAAACTTTGGCCCCACCCAGAGGGTGGCCGTCTGCCCCAAGTTCGGCCTGTGGGAAAAATATGACGTTTCCAGCTTCTTGGATATGTTTTCTCATTTCGTCCATTGTAACACGGTCTCGGAGATCGGGTAAAAAGAAAAATGCCCCAAAACATACAATTCCAAATGTTAAAAACACTAATAAAATTATGTATTTCTCTCTTAAACGCAGTGTTTTGCGTCCTTGAGGTACAGGCACACCATTTACATAGCGTTGATAGGTGGGAAGAACACTACCCGCTGCCATGTTGTCGTCTTCGTTCAGGCCCGCAGCGAATGTTGTCGTGTATTGGTCGAAATTTATAAAGGGGAGGTAATTGCTTTCAAACGCTCTCGGGAGACTACACGTACGAACGCCCGAGAACTCGGTGACCCATATAACAATCTGCCTCATCGCTGTTGACTCTTGACCAAGCAACGTAGGCACTGGATGGCGTGTGCTTTATATACCATTGATTTTCAAACTGTGAACATCAGTTATCACGACAATCCCGAGGTGGTCCATAATGCTTCATCTAAATAAAGACTGAATAAGTTATTTTTATCAAAGAATATGTATTTTAAGCCACATCATTCACGGAGAAAAGTATACTTATATTGATATGAAATGGCATTATTCAACTTATATATCAACAGAGAAGCGAAAGGTTACTCAATGTAATTCTTTACTCACATCTACAAACGCGAATACTGGAAGATAATTAAATTACATAATTATTATTTGTATTTTGAAAACAGTTTCAGAACAGAAGCCAATTGTTTCTACGTATATGAGATTTCTATATGAAATATTTATCAGTGTGTAAATAAGATGGGTTTTTTTTCCCATTTTGATGACGGGTTGAATTATAATGACATGTTCTAGGCAAATTATCAACATATTCTAATCATTTACTGCAATAAATATATTGACTTTCTAAGGGTTATATATTTATATTTTGGAATTTGCTAATGGCGTGAAAGAATATGGGTAATGCCAGTTTCTTTTGTTACAATAACTCCGTCTCTCTTTCCATGGCAGTCTTTATCCTTGTATAAGGGCAGTTTCAGACCTTCAGTATGAATTCTGTATCTGAAGTCGGTGACGTCCAGTGACGACATGGAGAGCATGCATTTGCACATACCTGGAGGTGATGATGTTGTTTGTGTATTGTAAAAAGTGGGTGAGTTCGTTTTAATGTCGCTATAAACAGTATTCCAGTTCTTCTGGGAGGTAAGGCGGACATGATGCAGTTGGTCTCAGACGTTTACCCCTTTGGCGAAAAACACGAGCACGGGTGTGGTGCTAACAAACCTAGACACATCATCGGGATTCGAACCCACGATCACTGGTTTAAGTTTGGCGTGTTTCCCGACTCTGCGCAGCGCATTCCGGCGCCTTAGGCGACTGGGCCCAACATAACATGGGTCGGGATCACTATAATATTATAACTGCCAGATTTTGTCCACCGAAACAACATACTGGCGCCGGTAGTTGTGCCACCAGGCTGGTCCACGGTTTGTCTTTCAAGACCACAACGCTCGTGCCCACTGTGCACGTATCCCAACTGGACTACCTCCATCAGAAAACATCACCAAAATGCAATTGCCAGCCATGAGTCCCGACCTTTTCCCCATAGAGCACATCTGGAACGTGATCGGACGAAGTGTACTCCGACGTCAAAAGCTACCTGCTACATTAGCCGAAATGGGCATATAGACTTTGTGTAGTCTTTCTGGTCTGTCCAATCGTGATTGATCAAGTCATCTCAAACGTCCATTTTTATACCCCCGACAAAATGTCGGGGGTATATAGTTATACCAAGATTCCGTCCGTCCGTCCGAAAATTTTGTCCGCGCGATTTCTCTTAAACTATTCAGTGGATTCAACTCAAACTTAGTACATATAATCTGTGTCATATGGAGGGGTGCAGTCAAAAGAAAAAAATTGTTTTTATTAATTTTCCATTTTTTTAATGAATTTTTCAAACCCTAATGTCCATCTGAAGACTTTGTCCGCGCGGTTTCTCTTAAACTATTCAGTGGATTCATCTCAAACTTAGTACATATAATCTGTGTCATATGGAGGGGTGCAGTCAAAAGAAAAGAATTGTGTTTATTAATTTTCCATTTTTTTATGAATTTTTCAAACCCTAATGACCATCTGAAGACTTTGTCCGCGCGGTTTCTCTTAAACTATTCAATGGATTCATCTCAAACTTAGTACATATAATCTGTGTCATATGGAGGGGTGCAGTCAAAAGAAAAAAAATGTTTTTATTCATTTTCCATTTTTTTATGAACTTTTCAAATGCTAAGGCTAACCCTATCCTAGCTATATAATTTGTAACTACTGACACACTAGGCGGGTCGGGGGTATTAGTGAGCCACGCTCACTTTTGCAATTGTTTCACTACACCCTTCTCGCCTTTCTTGGTTGTTTGCATCTACCGCGAACACCGCGTTATTCGTAAACGGTCATTGTTAAATATACCTCATACAGAATCTATCAAACAATTCAAACAGAATCTATATCTTAAGAATGTGACCTTCATTTAGTAGATGATAAATAACACGTCTTTTTTGTATGTAAGAACTATATTCACTTGAGAAATTTTTTTTTTTACCTCATTACAGAAATATTATACAGGTTATATTACGTTTGCAAATTTATTTAAATCATGCATGATATATTAATGTACTACGCTTGATAGCTTTATATTTATGTAAATTATTTATAATGAGATCGACAGGATGTAACACTCTGGTCATGTGACCTAAACTATTATTTATCTTACAATTGTACTGAACTGTGGCTTGAATTACGAAATAAACTAGATTGGTTGATAACATGTTCTGTATATTGGCATGTTACACCCAGTCCTTCCCTTTTCTTATCTATCCACTCCCATCACCCGAGGGGGCACGGGTGGCCCGGCCAGTCGTCTAAGGCGCCGCGATTCGCTGTGCAGAGTTGCGTCCCTTGGGCACGCCAGAAACCTACGATTGTGGTTTCGAATCCCGGTTCGCCCCGATTATGTTTCCAGGTTTGTCAGCACCATACCCGTGCTCGTGGGTTTCACCGAAGTGGTAAACGTCTGAGACCTGCATCACGTCTGGCTTTCCTCCCACATTAAGCTGACATGCCGTGATATAACTGGAATACTATTAATAGCGGCGTTAAACCCAACTCACTCACTCACCCATCACCGGATACCTCTTTGTATTTCTGTAATCTTTTGTTATTTTCGAATGTCCCCACATGTATACCTAGGGAATGATAAGTGTCCTTGACCTTGAGCCGTGATCGTATTTATAGGTCATGTGACCGTTCACATCGGAGATTGGACGACCTTGAAATGGTTCTTGACTGTTCTCGTTATATCTTCTTTGTCCGTATACACTTAGAAGTAATCAACATATCGAGAACATTTGATATGAATATGTGGACAATATATATACGCCATAGCAGCGGCAATGGCCACTATCTTGGTTAGCGGTCAACTCACAATATTTACAAAACAATCAGTTTCTTTCACTAATTGGTGTTTTCCATATGTTGTACAGTGAGTGAGTGAGTATGGTTTTACGCCGCTTTTAGCAATATTCCAGCAATATCACGGCGCGGGACACCAGAAATTGGCTGAATACATCGTACGCATGTCGGAAATCGAACCCGGGTCTTCGGCGTGACGTGCGAACGCTTTAACCAAAAAGCAAGTTCGAACTGAAAATCGTTAACTGTGGCGTTAAGCTCACACCAAATGATATTACAAAATTACTTTATAAATATATTGCATATATGTTTCCCTTCACGATGTTCGAAATGTTCTATGGAAGCGTATTAGTGCCACAGTCTAAAAAAATATATCATCTACGTAGATGAAAGTAGATGATACCTACTCTTACGTAGATGATACTATAATCTACGTAGATGATACTGCTCACATCTACGAAGAAGATACTTTCATCTAGGTATCAATATTTTCTCGAGTAATTGATAAGTACGATTATAATACCACATACGGGGATGAAAGTATCATTTACGTGGCAGTCCAGCAAAGTTACGCTGACCCCAAAAAGCCTGTTACAAGACGTGCAACATGTGAGCGGGCAGAAGAACATGATCTCCAATAATGTCGTCCCCTGGCGTTTGTCATTCAAAATGCCATTAATACTAATGAGTTGTGTTCTCCAATGAGTTGTTGTGCCACCCACACCATTACACCCCCACCGCATGTTTCTCGGCCATCGTATTGTACATCATACTGTCTACACAATGGTGTAAGAAAAATATATTACTATTTTTCACGATACTTGCACTTTAAATATACTACTTTTCCTACGAAACTATTATCCTACACGGGTGGTCGTGTAGCCTAGTGGTTAAAGCGTTCACTCGTCACGTCGAAGACCCGGGTTCGATTCCCGACATGGGTACAATGTGTGAAGCCTATTTCTGGTTTCCCCCGTCGTGATATTGCTAGAATATTGCTAAAAGTGGCGTAAATCCATACTCACTCTCACTCACTATTGTCCTCAATGAAATGTGTTTCGTTATAACCAAATTGCTTGTTATTGAATAAAGTTAATTGTTATTAGTTTTTACTTCACAATGATTAATCTGTGGGTTCGGGAACCCGGGATTAAGAACCCGGGCCCCCTTGCCTCTATGTACTGCATGGATTAGTCAAATCGAACGTATCTGAAGACAACAGTTATGTTCTTCACACCCGTAAATACACGTACAAGCTAAAATTAGCCTTGTTTGATTAAAATAGCATCTGTACTGTTATTAAAGATTCGAGGGTCATGCTCGAAGGTTACCATTGCGTTGGTAGATGTTGCACAAAGGTGAGAAGGGATAGGCCTAACAACGCGTTCGCGTTGATTAATGTTTACAGGCATATTCCTATACTCCAGGGCTCAGTGTACAGTTCTCGGTAGGAAATGACAGCATAACTTGATGGCTTACGGTGAATATACACAAGTTTACTTTATACAGGTACGAGTAGAAATATACACAAGGAACACTGTTTGCCAGGTCTCTCTCTCTCTCTCTCTCTCTCTCTCTCTCTTTCTCTCTCTCTCTCTCTCTCTCTCTCTCTCTCTCTCTCTCTCTCTCTCTCTCTCTCTCTCTCGCTTTTCATTTTCATATATAAAGCCATGTCACTTGACATGGATTAAGTAATAAATATAACATACAACAGTGCATATGTGCAATGACGGTATGAAAGTGATCATCTAGCCAATCTCGTTATCTTTGTTTAGTGGTAGCGAGAACTAAGGTCTGGTTT